AGCTTGAGGCTGTCTCACAAAAAAAAAAAAAAAAGAGCAGTGTTTCATGGAAGTTAAAAAGAAAAGGTGGGGTGGTGCCCATATACCGAGGGTGGTAGGTTTGAACCTGGCTCGGCGAAACTGCAACAAAAAATAGCCGGGCGTTGTGGCGGGCGCCTATAGTCCCACCTACTTGGGAAGCTAAGGCAAGAGAATTGTCTAAGCCCAAGAGCTGGAGGTTGCTGTGAGTTGTGATGCCACAGCCCTCTACTGAGGGTGACAAAGTGAGACTCTGTCTCTTAAAAAAAAAGGAAGAAAAAGAAAAAGTGGTGTCCCAGAACCTTAAGACTAAGGTTTTGCTTTTAAGATTTGTTAAGAGGCCTTAGTGCCTATAGTTCAGTGGTTAGGGTGCTAGCCACATACACGGAGACTGGCGGGTTCGAATCTGGCCCAGGCCTACTAAAGAACAATGACAACTGCAACAAAAAAATAGCCGGGCATTGTGGTGGGTGCCTGTAGTCGCAGCTACTTGGGAGGCTGAGGCAAGAGAATTACTAAAGCCCAGGAGATGGAGGTTGCTGTGAGCTGTGATGCCACGGCACTCTACCAAGGGCAATAAAGTGAGACTCTGTCTCTAAAAAAAATTTTTTTAACAACTATCCCAAAATTTCTATTGCAAAGGATCTATAGAAACCATGTGAGCCCCACTTGTACCTTTTCCGTATTGTTACTCTGAGCCCCATAAGGGGTGTGTGTAAATATATATGTATATACCTATTTGGTAAGTATTATTAACCCAGTTGTAGTAGCAAGAATTTGAGGCTTAGCAGGGCAATTTGTTTTAGGTGACAAAGCTTTTAAGTAACAAGAGCTGGGACTCAAATACAAATATGCCTAATGCCAAAGTGTATGCTGTACTCATAGGTAGGCCAGCAAGTAAACTCTAGGAAAAAGATCACCTGTCTGAGTGGCAAGATGTAACACGGTCTGTGTTTTACTATGTATGAGAAATTGTACTAGGCAATTTATATTCATTACCTCATTAGTTCTTACAACTCTGGTGTATTATTATCCCCATTTCACAGAGAAACTGATCTCTTGAAAGATTAAGAAGTTTGTTCAAGCCACACAGCCAGCAAGAAAAAATACTGGGACCTAAGATCCAGTAATGTCTAGATCTGTTCAAGACTAGCTAGTCTCTTATAACCATATACTGTTTCCCTAGAGAAATCATTTGGGTAGAATCTGGGTACATGGAGATTTTTTTTTTTTTAGTTGTTGTTCTAAAGTGAGAATCTAGGCAGCAGTTTCTTAAACTTTATGGGTCTATCATCCTCTGTGAGTCCCCAGATACAGGAAGGACAACCTAGGGATAAAACATAGTAAAGACCAGCGACAAATCCCAAAGTCAAAGTGATCATTTCAAGAGTAATGATCAGGCTCAGAGCCTGTAGCTCGGTGCTGGTAGCTCAGTGGCTAGGGCGTCGGCCACACGCACTGAGGCTCGTGGGTTTGAACCCAGCCCAGGCCTGCCAAACAACAACGACAACTACAACAACAAAAAAATAAAATAGCCAGGTGTTGTGGCAGGCACCTATAGTCCCAGCTACTTGGGCGGCTGAAGCAAGAGAATCGCTTAAACCCAAGAGTTTAAGGTTGCTGTGAACTGTATTGCCATGATACTCTACCCAAGGCAACATAGTGAGACTCTGTCTCCAAAAAAAAAAAAAGAATAATGATCAATGTGGTGACTGAGTGACTGATATCTATAATCCCACCAGCACTCTGGAAAGCTGAGGATAGCTTGAGGCCAGGAGTTTAAGGCCGGCCTGGGCAACATAGTAAGATCATATCTCCACAAAAACTAGAAAAATTTAGCTGGGTGTGGTGGCAGACTTCTGTAGGCCTAGCTACGATCACTTTGCGCCCAGGAGTTTGAGATTCTATGAGCTAGGCTGACACCACAGCTCTCTAGCCTGGGCAACAGAATGAGACTCTGTCTCCAAAAAAAAAAAAAAAAATGACGTCTATATGGAAGGCATTGTTAGGCCTATTGTTAGGCACCGTTATCCCACTTTACAGAGTCAGTCAGAATCATCTGAGGCACAGAAGGGGTTTCTGTTTAAGGTTGGTAAGTAATAAAAGCCAGAAAACAAACACAAATCTGCCTAATGCCAAATCCTGCACAGGGTTTATTAGATCATACTGCCTCCTCCAAGGTCCTGACATAGGGATACACTCTGCAAAGAGGGAACTGAAGTTTTGACCTCATTCTGGGTTTCGTAAGATGGTTTCAATTTATAAAAGCAGTATGACCACATTATAGAAGTTTTTTGTTTTTGTTTTTTTGGAGAGGCAGAGTCTCACTTTATTGCCCTTGGTAAAGTGCTGTGATGTACAGCACACAACAACCTCCAACTCCTGGGCTTAGACGATTCTCTTGCCTCAACCTCCCGAGTAGCTGGGACTACAGGCACCTGCCACAA